GATTTCGGCTTTTGGGCTGAGGGCGCATAGGTTGGGATGTGGGGTTCCGGTTCAGGGTCCAGGGCGCCAAGGTTGGGGCGCCCGCCTGGCGGCCCTCTCGGGGCCCTCTCGGGCACCTCTAGGGGTCAATATTGGCCCCTGTTGGGGAAGAGGCAGGATGATTGTTTCGGGTCGCCTTCGAGTCCCCCACCAACAAGCCAGCTGAATTGCGGCGCATCCCGCGCAGATGCCGTCGGGCAAGCCTCGCCTCTGCAAGCGAGGAACAGAAGTGCTCAGATCGAGTGAGCAGGAGTTGGAGGAAATAACCAATACAAGACCAGGCGCGGGTGCCAACGATATGCATTTCCCCCGGCGGCTCTCAAACGAAGTGTTATTTCACTTGGCAGCCTTGATGATCTTAGACGCTTCCTCGGCTACCTGCACAGCGGAGGCAACTGCTGCGTTCACGGTCGAATGGTTGTAAGGCTCTTTCTCGTACTTGTCCTTGATCTTGTTTTTGGTGCCCTCCACCTTGGATATCATCTTCTCTGCGGACAGGGCGATCGATTTCTTGAGCTTGTCGTTCTTCAAGCGGCGATGCACGCCGCCCAAGCTGTCAGCTTTCTTGTCCAGCAGCGCCATCATCTTCCTGGCGTTGGCCTTGCTCTTGTCCTCGATGTCGTCGACGAGGTCTGTGGAGCCACGCGCGGAGCCGCGTCCAGCGCCGCGCCCGGAGCCGCGCCCGTTGCCGCGCCCGCCCCTGCTGGCCTCGCCCTGGGTGATGGCCCTCCTGCTGCTGCGGAACTGGTCGGCCATGCTGTCCTCCAACTGCTTAAGCTGCTCCTCGCTCAGATTCGCCGACTTTTTGACCTCAGCCTTATCCTCCAACGTCTTGGACTTGCGTTCGATCTCCCTGATCTTCTGGTACTTTGTGATGCCATCCTCGTCCTCTTTGGTCTTGAACTTACCCATCGCCTTGAACTGTCCGAACTCCTTCTCCCCGTGCTTCTGTATCATCTCGCCCTCGTAGAACCACTCGCCTTCCTCCATCTCCTGCCTGGTCTTGATGAAGGTCCTCAGCTCCTTACCGCAGAGCGTCTCCCATTCTCCTGGCTTTGCCACCTGCAAGCAAAGGACAACATTCTTCTGTTCCGTTTTGGTTCCATCTGTCAAGGCGCATATGTTTTTCCAAGCGATCTTCGTGGCCTCGGAAGATTTAGGGAGCACTGTCTTGTTGAACCTGTCCCACAAGCGGTTTTTCTCGCTCATCGGAAACAGACCATCCAGTGTTTTCTGCATTGTCTTTGTGCCCCAGTTGCCTTCCTCGAACTGATCCTGGTAAGCCTTGACTTTCGCGTGGAAGCCGTCGTCCTTGAGGTTATCCACCCAGCCTGTAACCCACTCGTTGATCTTTGCATCGTCTGATTCGCCCTTGATGGCAGGCTTCTTCATCACGGGCTCTCCCTCATTGACCACCATAGCAGATGGCCGCCGCTTTGGTGCCCCAGCCGGCATCGCGTGTACGTGTATGGAAAGAACGTTCGTTCCAACCCGAGATATGAAAGAGATTTTCTAGTTGGCTTGAGTCAACAATGTCTACGGACATGACGCAGTATGAGTTCCTCCCATTGCCCTGAGAAATCTCGGCGACAGCCGAGGATATCGCGAAACTCAGACGCGCTCCCCCAGAAAACAACTCCGTTGGGCTCCCTCTGGGCGCTCCTGGGGCCGTCGCGCACCCCTCTGGTAGCCGTGTTGGGGTTCTGTTGGAGCCCTCTTGGGGCCTTTGTTGTTTGAGGGTCCCGCGTGCGCACTAAAGTGCTATACTGCCTGATCAAAGGCACTCCTCAAAGCATCTTCTCAGGATGGGCTGAAATGGATACGCGAAGCGTCAAGAATTCCAGCAACAATTTGATTCACAGATGCACGGCACCATAATTCACAAGCGCCAAGCATTCAAAAATGTTCACGGGAAGCAATTTCTTATACTGATCCGTTAACGGTCTTATACTGCAGTATAAGACCAGTATAAGATCTTATACTGGCCAGTATAATACCACTATAAGATCAGTATAAGAGAGCTGTGTTTTTTTTACGAAACGTTCCAATGGGATTCAATCTGTTTCGCGCTGAACAGCAATGCAATGGTCTGATTCTGCGTTGCCGCGACCTTGCAGCATTACCGTGCAAGGGAGGGGGAGGAGGAACCAGACACGTGGCAGTTTGAAAGCAGAATGCGACAAGAGGACGCGCCCACGGCGTCACAAAAACCAGAGGGGGGGAAATTCTGTACAAAACGATTGTTTTGTACAGAATTTCCCACCTCCCTGTTTTGATCGCGTTGGGGGCACCCCAAACCGTCCACGCGCCCTGGCCTTGGTGATGCGCACTATTCTGAACGGGTGGAACACATCAGCACGCTATCGCACAGGGACTGGGATATGCAAGTTGGGACGCGGTTGCCACAGTGAGGCTGGGATGCTTCATTACGTATCTTGTCCTGTTTTTCAACCTGTCGTGAAAACCATCCCCCCCCTCCTTGCCTTTTGAGGCGAAAGGTGTAGGGGTACAATTGTCCTCTTCCAAAGAGTTGGGGGTGCCGTCGCACTCCTGTCGTGGGAGCCTCTCATAGGGGCCTCTCGGGGACATTTCGCGGGAGGGGTTCGGCGACTGGATATGAAAGGTACCGGGGTACTGAAAATATTCACTGTTTGTTGGAAAAGCATAAGAAAATAAAGCATGTCATTTTCGGTCGCCAGCTTGAAATGGCCCCCAAGAGGCTCCAAACGGCCCCCAAGAGGCCCCCAAGAGCGCCCCAAAACATGTGAATCACAATTCCCATCTTTTCTGTTTTTTCTCAAACCCTTCTGGGAGCTTGTGGAGGCTCTCAAGAAGCCCCCAAGAGCCCCCAAGAGGCCCCCCAGAGGCCCCCAAGAGCGGCCCAATAGGACCCCAAGAGGTCCCCAAGAGCGCCCAAGAGGCCCCCAAGAGGCTCCCAATATCATCCTGGAAAATATCATGGAAATTACAATGTTTGCAAGATTTCGGGGGGCCCGCCGATTCCCCCCTCTGTTTTGAGCACTTTTTGGCGCGTCGCCGCGGCTTGTTTTTATTGGCATGCACACAGAAAAGCCACCCCCAGCCCGCCCGGGGGGACGTCCAGAAAATCTGCTTTTTGAGGGGTTCCACTGTTCAGGGGACATACGAAAAACTCACAGTTTCGACAGGCCCCATGAATAGTGGAAGCGGGGGCCGGGGGGGGCCAAGACGGCCAGAAAAGGACACCAAAATCGTCAAAGTGCGGCCGTGGGGGCCCTAATGATGGCCCCAGGGGGCCGCGATATCCACCCGAGAAGGTTCCATATGGCTTCAAAGGTTTCCAAGACGCTCTTGGAGGCTTTGGGGGTCCTTTATGGAGGTCTTATGGGGGCCTTATGGGGGGGCTCTTGGGAGCTTTGGGGGGCCTTATGGGGCCATCTTGGGGGCCTTTGGGACCCTCTTGAGGATTTTTTGTGGCCTTGTGGGGCCTTCGGAAACTCGCTGCGAGACATCTGACCCAAAGAGGAGGGGGATGAGTGGGGGAGAAGGAGCAGGAGGGGCGAGGAGGAGATTGCATATGATTTTGACGCGTCATTTTTACCAATGGTCGGGCGCCAGTAGATCGCCACGAACATCGGAAGTATGTATTGGCGTGTCCGCAACAAGGGGCTGCGCTCAAGAGGTCACAGGCAGACATTTCTGTTGAGCGCGTTGTACTCAAGCGTGCAAGAGCGTGAACCCATGGTCTACCGAGAAGAAAAAACAGTCTTGAAGAATAGATTGCTGGTCCTCTTCTGCGCAATCGACTTGAACAGCGCACAGACTGCGGCGCCAAATTTGCATGGATAGGCTTGGCTCGAAGACAAGGGCTTGTGCTTTCCATTCACTCCTTTGCTCGTTGTGATTGCTAGATGAGGCAAGTTATTTGGCGCTTTTCTTTTTAAAGCGCACACTTCTTTGCTAGACGAATAAATATCGATTGGCTCGGCAGTCCGTGCTCCGAATGCACCCAGAAACGTTCTGCACTTTGCAGTCGCAACTTGCGTGATCAAGGTGGTGAAGGGTTCAAAATGTCTCATCAATGAGCTGCTTGGTTGCTCTATGAAGATATCGTGGCCCATGCACCAAGCGAGTGCCAACACTCCAGCCAGATTCACGACCATTTTGTTACCATCTCTGACCCTCCTGACACCAGGGTCGCCAGCGGCCTTACGTTTAGTTCGCGATGTCCCGCTGCGAGCGACAAAGACCCACGAGCTGCATTGAGGGGCGGCCCAAACAAAGCCGCCATCAACCAGGCGGCATAGCAGCAACACGGCGTTGGCAATGCCGCGCTCTGTGAGGAAATCTTGGTGCTTGTGGTAGCTCTTATCGAATCCGGCCGAATTCCCCATCAAGACATCGCACGCGTGAAATATAGCGCCCATCCCAGAAAAGAACTCCACAAGGACAAGCGGAGACATGCATTTGTCATGGACCTGCTGCACACACGTCGCGACGATGGGCAGCAAAGCGAGCACCAAAGGTTGCAGAACAGCAGGAAGGTCCAGAGGACTTCGCTTGAATTGCATTGTGCCAAATAGAAAACCTTAGGGTTACTCCTTGAGCCAAACCAGCTACGGACGGGATGCGCATCAACGGTTATCTACTAGTCTCCCTCGTCTCCGAAAAGGGCGAAATCAGTAAACCACTGTCCGAGAAAGGCCTTCGAAATCTCAGGAAACAGCGGCGCTGTTACATGAATCGCGACGCCACGCACCAAGTGCGCATTGATTATCAAGCAGGAGGCTTCGAAATCTGAGAAACCCTCGCCCATGAGTGCCGCCCCCCACCCCTGTATTATTCATCGCTGCATCCCCCCATCTTCTGCGTTTTCCATGAGCGCGCATGCATTCCCAAACGGTGAACCTGGCGGTCACTAGGCTGCACGCGCGCGCGCATGGCACTGGACTACAAAAGGGTCATCATCATCTGCGAAAGCGTCACCCGAAGAAATCATCATCTGCGAAAGGGTCCTCAGGCTTGTGCTCCGCCTCGCTTGAGCTGTGCTCCTCTTTGTCATCATCTTCCTCCTCGCCGTCGTCGCCCTCTGTGTCCACCGAGGTTTCTGCCGCCTGCGCGCAAGCAGGCTTGCGCTTTGGGGCCTTCTTCCCCTCGGCGAATTCGAGTACCCATTGGTTCCGTAAAGACACTAGCGTCTCAGCACTGCAATTGGAAGTTGCTGCATGCTCGAAGATTTTGGCTGCCAGGGTTCTATGGTCTTCGAAATTCGCACCTTGGCGATCCATCCAACTGCCCTCAATGTTCAGAATAGAATGCCACTTCCCAGTCGTCTCCCTGAACTGCGTGATGTAGGATGCCTTCGTGAAGGCGCCCAATTTGATGGGGCCCAGAGTGGCTGACTCCTTCGTATTGGATGGCGCAGCAGCTGGTTTTTTAGCCACGGACATCTTCAGTGCTCTCACTCCACCTGGTAGCGGGCGGGAGGCCACAGCTTCAGCCTCGGCCAGCAGATCTGGAGGATCACCCGTGCCAGCGCGCACAGACTTCAGGAACGCCTCCTCGCCCGCGCTCCCCATGCTGCTCGAGCTGGGCTGCGGCTGCAACTCACGTTGTTTTTTGGGTTTGGGGGTCCCGGTAAGAGCGACGCCGCGCTTGGCCTTCGGTGGTGGCGTATCGCTGCCGTTGTTCTCATCGTCCAATGTTGCAGTGTCAATCCTGGAGATCAGTCCTCGCAGTATTTCCTTTGTGGCATCGCCCAACTTGCGGGTGCACTCGTCCCACTTTTTGTCTGATGCGGCAATGCGCCGTAGGTGGTACAAAATGACGATGATCTTCTTGCGGAACCACAGGCCGAACTCCTCTGGTGATTTGCCCGTCTGAGTGATCTTCAGATGACCGCGGCGGTCGCAGGCCCGGACGATTGCTTTTTCAGGCTCTGTAGGTAGGACTTTTGCGCAACTTTGCTTCGCCAGCAGCGGAGCGAGAAGAGGCTTTAGATCAGCCAAGCCTTTACCATCCGCTGCATGAGAATTCTTCTTATTGAAATACACGCCAAGGATGAATACTTTATTGGGCGGGCAGTGCTCAATGTATTGGTCAAGTACCCAATCCCAATCTGCATCGCTGATACAAGGGGGCATGATACGCACAGCAGACGAAATGTGATGCTGATGTGCGTAGACCACCCTCCACGCAGCTTGGGCCAAAATGAGATATGCGCGCACTTGCGCGCGACCCTTCGAATGAGAGAGCGCGTCGACGAGGACTTCGGAACACAAGAGTACTAAATGTAAGTCAAAGAAGGAGGAGGCGGAGGAAGAGGAGGAGGATTTGGAGCTGGAGCTGGAGGAGGAGTTATGGACATTTCGCGGGACCTTCTGGGGCCATCATCGGGGCACACTTTTGAATCCACAGTGCCCCGCGTCTCCCCCTCCGCCTCCTCACTCCCGCCCCTCCGCTCCTCGGCCTGTGCGCCCGCTGGCCAATTCTGGCGCACCCCTTGAAGGTTTCGGAGCTCCACCTACGGCTCCAGCGAGGACGCTCGCATGGCACCACCGCCCGATGTCGACACACCCCTCAAACATCCCGTAGCTCCAGAGGAGCTCCACCTACGGCTCCAGTGAGGGCGCCGCCCGCATAGCGGCCGCTTGATTTTGTCACACCCCTCGCGCGCTCCGCAGCCCCATAAAAGGGGGTTCCATATACGGCTCCAGTGAGGGCGCCCGCTTGGCGCTACCGCCTCATTTCGGCGCATCCCTCGCGCATTTCGTAGCCTCATAAGGAGTTCCACCTAGGGCTTCAATGAGGGCGCCCGAACGGCGCCACCGCGTAATTTCGGCAAACCCATCGCGCTCTTCGTAGCCTCATATAGAGCTCCACCTGCGATTTCAGTGAGCCACTCGCACGGCGCCACTAATGCCGGCACGCCCCCCCCACGCGGTTCGTAGCCTCATGGTGCGGGGGCGCCCGCATGGCGCCACCGCCTTTATTTTGGCGCGACCTCACACGCTTCGCGGCCCTGTCGGGAGCTCCACCTATACGGCTCCACCCGCATGGCGCCACCGTTTTGTCTCGGCGCGTTTCTCGCTCGTTTTGCCCCCACCTAAGGCTCCAGCGAGGGCGCCCTGATGGCGCCGCCACTTCATACTCGCCCGCTGCGTGGCCCCATGGGGGCCTCCACGGACGGCTCCAGCGAGGTCGCCCGCATTGCGTTCGGCACGCCCTTCGCGCGTTTCGTGGCCTGATAGGGAGCTCCACCTACGACTCCAACCAGGGCGCCCCCACTGCGCCACGGCTTCATGATGCATAAGCCCCCGCAGTTGCGGATAATAGTGAGGGGCGGGCGGTGCGGCCTCGAGATCCACCGCGTCTTCGAGACGCGTTTCGAAATCAACCATCTCGAAAATCAAGCGCCTCGATGGGAAACGAGACGCCCCTTCAATTCTGACCAAGAAAACGAGACACCCCCTAGGCGATATTAGGATTGCGTTCCGCTGCTTAGATACGTCATCCTCTTATGCTTTTTCGAAGCGCGGGCCCTCGTCTTCGAGACGCCCTTCGACATGGTGGGTCCCTGGGGGGAGAGGAGTCGCGGGGGAGGGGGGGTCGCGTGCGCCCAGGGACGGCGTAAGACCGATCCACCCTCTCACACTGACATCTGGCCCAGTGGGCCTTCCTGCACTGTCCGCCGCCTTCCGAGGAGAGGGGCAGATCCTCCGCTGTTCTCTGGTATCAGAAATTCTGATCGATATCAGCAATTTTGGTCGATATCAGAGATTTGGATCGATGCCACATTTCCTGATCGATGTTAGCTTTTCCGGCCGATCCCAGAAAAAAACAATATAAAATCAGTTCGATCAGATTTTCTAATATAAATCAGTTATTTCTGATCGATGGATGCTGCTGGGCGGCCAAGGGGCCGGGGCAGGTGCTTACCTCCGGGTGCCGGCAGAGGCGCCGGGCAAGGCTGCCGCGGGCCCCAGACCTCCTCGCGCTGTGCAGAAATCACGGCGGGAGGCTTTTCATCATTTCCGGCCTCCGGGGGCCCTTACCGGGCCTCAGGACCGCCAAGAAACGACTCAGGGCGAAAAACTGGCCCCGGGGAAGAGGTCCATGCAGACCTCTGCCACCAGGGCGAAAGGATTGCCAAAGAGACTCTCTTTGCTCATATGGCATCCTGGTGAACGCTGTGCCTCCATTTGCGCTCCGGGGATGCATTTTGTTGCATCGCCGAAAAGGCCGGCGGCCGAAAGCGCCGATCTTTATTTTAATGGCGCGAAGTACACTCATCAATATATTCATCACCTTTTCAAGCTCGTATGTTGCCCGTCCCTTTATTCACCCCCTATGCATGTTCATGCTGAACCTTTTCTTGCTCATATTCGCGCCCCTCTTGTTCCCCTTTCCCTCTCCCGCCTTTTCCTTGCCGTTTCGCGCCGCCCACCTCCACCCCCATCCTCCTCCTCCTCCTCCTCCTCCTCCTCCTCCTCCTCCTCCTCCCCCCTTCCTCCCCATCCTCCTCTTCCTCATCCTCCTCCTCTCCCTCTTCCTCCTCCTCCTCCTCCTCCTCCTCCTCCTCTTCCTCCTCCTCCTCCTCCCTTTCCCCCTCCTCTTCCTCCTTTTCCTTTTCCGTCTGCAACCCGTGCCCGAGCAGCGACAAGGGTTGGCCTCGCGTGCCCTTTCTCCTCCACCTCCCCCCCCTCTTCCCCGCCCATCGTCCCATCCAGTCCCGCGGACCAGATTTCAGGTTGCAGACAGCCTACATGCAGGCTGTCTGCGGCCTGAAATGCGGTCTGCGGAAAAGCATTTCAAGATGCCTTTGCCACGCAAGCGCGGCGGCAGATCCCCCCCCTCACGGATCCCGCGCCCAAGGCCGCATAGGGATCACGGCCACGCACGCCCCCGGGGTCGCGCGGCCCGCTCGGGCGCAGGGGCGACGAGCGCGGCCAATGGCAGCGCATGCCGAGGACGTCGTGGCCCCGCGGTCCCCCCCGCGCCATGGCTGCCATGGTGGACGGCGCGCCGAAAAAGTCTACTCACCCCATTTAGATGCAGACGGTTGTGGACGTTCGCATCAACGGAGGCGGGTGGGCGGGCACGTGTATGAGGGGGAACGGTTTGCAGCGTTACGGGGCGCTCGACGACGGGCGGCGCAGCCAGATGCAGTACTATCGTGGACAGCGATTCCGACGTTGACGGCATTATTCTGCTGCTCAAGGTGAGCTATTTATTTGTTTCCCACTCGCCCCCGCCCACGCCCGCCCCCCCCGCCAGGTGAAAGTTCGCTTCGCGTTGCCGCGACGGGCATGGAATCACGGGGCGTGACGTCTACGAGGGGGCTGCGCAGTACCCCCTACCCCGCCCCTCGTGAGTTTCCCACCTCCGCCCAGACCTGCTCGCACGCCCAATCGGCCCCGCCCCCCGCCTGCGTTTATCCGAACTCTGGTGCACCGGAGTTTGGCCCAGGCCGACGGGCGCTGACATCATAGAGTACGAAATCCACGACGGTTGTCACACGCGCAGGAGGACGCGTTCGCGGCACGCGCCGGAGACATATATATATATATATATATATATATATACGTATATATATATAGAGAGAGAGAGAGAAACAGAGAGAGAGAGATAGAGAGAGAGAAAGAGAGAGACAGAGAGAGGGGGAGGGATAGAGAGAGAGAGAGAGAGGGAGAGAGAGAGATGGAGAGAGCTATATGCACACAGAGACATACAGACAGACAGACAGACAGGCAGACAGACAGACAGGCAAACAGACAGACAGACAGACAGGGAGGCAGCCAGACAGACAGAGGCGGCCGGCGGAAAACCAGGATCGCAACCGAAGGAGCCGGAGGGTGACTACGCCGCAGAAGCTGGAGAGGTTGAGCCGCAAGAGGTTTACGCTACGGGCTGACGAGCACTGTACGCTGATGTAGCGATTTTAGCCATAGAAGCGGACGAGCAAGCGGAGAGGGCCCGCAAGGGCGGGGCAGCCGAATCCTAAACTCCATATTGCCCCGACGCCCCCCATCGTCCACACTTGGCCGCCCAAGCTCTTGCCCCCGCCTGTCTTAGCCCCTGGTGGGGATTGGGTTCGGTTGCCCCCATCTGAAGCGGCGCTTAAGGCCTGTCCAGTGGGGGAAGTGCCCGGCGTGCCAAGTCATGGTAGACTGCGGAGAACCAGCCAATTCTGGACGTTTCGCGCATCACCTGCAGTCCGTCCAAGGAGGAGGAGGAGGAGGAGGAGGAGGAGGAGGAGGACGACGACGACGACGACGACGACGACGACGACGACGACGACGACGACGACGGCGACGACGACAACGAAGGGCGAGAAGAAAGGGCGAAAGCTGGATGCTTCTCGGAGTCAAGGAAAATCTTGCGGGCGTTTCTTGAAGGCCTCTTGTTGGGGCGCATGGGGGATTTGCTGGCGCCCCCGCGCGGAGGCTTCGTGGGGCATCTTGGGCGCCTCTGGGGGCCTCATGGGGCTGCCTGGGGGACCGCTGGGGGCCCCCATGTGGGCCTCGCGGGGGTTTCCTGGGCCTCATGGGCGCCCCCATGAGCCCATCGCGGGGCCTTCCTGGAGGCCGCGGGGGCCGTCTCGAGGCCATGTTGGAGTGCGTCGGCCAAGGCGGGGGGCATTCACATCCCCCCCCCCCTTGAGGGCTCAAGTCCTGCACGAGGGCACATTGCATGGAGGTCATTGCCACGTGGGCCAACGGGCAACGTTGCGGCGTCTGCGTCCGAAATATGCCCACGAACAACTAACATCCGGTGTGTTTGCGTGTATGGGGGCGTTCGTGTGTGCGCGCGCGCGTGCGCGTGCTTGCGCGTGTGTGTGTGTGTGCGTGTGTGTGTGTGTGTGTGTGCGTGTGTGTGTGTTTGTGTGTGTGTCTGTGTGTGTATGTGCGCGTGTGCGTCTGTGTATGTATGTGTGTGTGCGCGTGCGCGTGCGCGCGTGTGTGTGCGTGTATGTGTCTGTGTGTTTGTTTGTTTGTTTGTGTGTGTGCGCGCGCGCGTGCGTGTGTGCGCGTGTGTGCGTGCGTGCGCGCGCGTGTTTGCGCGCGCGTGTCGTGCGCGTGTGTGCGATTGTGTGCGTGTGTGTGCGTGTGTGCGCGTGCGTGTGCGTGCGTGTGTGCGTGTC